CATTTCAAATTTCCGTTCAACAGAAACAATATTGGTTCAGTTAAATTCAAATTTGAATTGTTGTGTGTGGGTTAAAGAGATAAAACAAATAGTGTGCCGACATTATCTTGATAAAATTATATATGTTTAAAATTACCCATATTGTGATTAGGTGATAATTCAATGTTAAATAAATTAACAATTCCATCAGAACAAAAAACAGCTAATCGGTTTCCCAAACAATCAAGTAATAAAGCTTGGCCAGTTAATTGGTACGAAATCATATTATCATTAGATAATCTAGAATCTCCATTATATATTCGCACTTGATGTTCATCAACAGGCACGCTGTAACATCCACATATGATATAACATCGCCACCATAAAACTCCACCAGTTACTATCATATCTTTTTCTTGAATTTCATTTCCAAATAGTTTCCATCGGTGAGTAATTAAAGAATAATGAGCAAGACCACTACGTCCAGCAATCACTATGTGTTTTCCATCATCATCTATACAAGATGTCTGGAATTAAAATGAAGAAATTGTTATTAGATATAAAATAAACATCTAAAAAATCATGTTTTAAATTTACTCTAATTGGCCAATTGGTTCCTAAATATGGAGAAGGGGCATAAACAATAATCCATTGTTTATTTTCAACTAAAGCACTGGTGATAGTTAATTGGTCTTTAGTTTTGTTATTGGATTGAGTCATTTTATACACTTTTGTTAGACCAGATGTTACATTCAGATACAATTTATCTTCACCTTGGAGATATAAATGTGGACGATGGCTCTAAAACAAACACATAAATTCCTATGATGTTTTTGGTAATACATTTTTTTTTAATGTTCCATTATTTTATAATGATAGCAAAAATATATTCAAATCCAATAAGTAATTCTGAAATTGATTAAGATGATAATATTTTATTAAAAAATACTTACCATGGTTGGATTGACAGCAAGAGCACTTTTTAAAAATGACATTTGTAATACTGTATCATCATGTGTATCTTTTGATGCTCCATTAACCATCCATAGTTGGTAGCCTTCTATACACCATTCCATGGAAATAATATTGAGTGGATTTCTAGAGCTTAAATCGATGTTTACACTGAAGTTCCATGCTAATGAGCAAACTAACAGAGCTCCAAAAGTACTCCATACAGCGAAGCCACCATTCTCCCAAGCCATTACTAAAGCACAGCCATCAGGTGTCCATCGAGTACACCTCACAGAACCTAATCCTCCACCTGGCCATACTTGACTGGGAATCACAAGTTTGTGAGATAATTGTAAACCACCAGTGCGTTCGTCAAGACCAAATACAATACCTTGGGAACTACAATTTCAAAATGCAAATGTTGAATAATTATTTAAAAATGCAAATGTTGAATAATTATTTAAAAATTAAATTAATTAATAACTTACTTTTTTAGTCCATAAGCAATTAATCTATACTTGTGGTTCAAACTTGTACAAGTAGCAGTATCAATATTAGGAGCCCAAATACCTTGAACTTGCTATTTTGATAAAATGTAATATAGTGTTATTTTAAAATGTTTTTATACTTTATTTTTTAAATAAACCTTACATTAGGATCAAATTTTAAAGATGATGCTGTTAGTAATGCTGCACGGCCATCATTCAAAATAATTCCGAAACCTCCAACTAATGGTGAGTATTCCATATCAACAATAAAAGTATCTTTGCTAGTTAGTGGTGCAGCTATAACATTCAAACACAAATTATTGTAATACATATTTATATAGGTATATTTAAATGTAGTAACTAATCAATAATTTACCATTAGAAACATGTAGATCAATAGAAAATGGTGTTCTACGAAGATCTAAACAGTAATCTCGATTAATGGAACTATTCCAGTGATATCGCAATACATGTCCTTTACAAGTAGACACCATTAATTCATCACGAATGCAAGCCATACATTCAACACTACCGTCAACACAAACTATTTGATCCTATACAATTTAAATAAACAGAATCAAAATACCTATCACTTATATAAAATAATATATAATATATAAATATATAATTTTAAATATTATATTACTTGTTTAATATGTAAAGATGGTATGGTCTCTTTCACAAATAGCTCATCATTTTCTCTTTTTAGACTAGAGATATGTGAATCTTCTAAGTGATACAAGCTTCCAGGATCACCAATAATGCTCAAATTATAAAACACTAAATAACCTTTTGTAGTCTACAACATAGTTAAATAAAAATACAATTTAGCTAGTATTTAATAACTTAAATAATTAGAAAATAAAATAATAAATACTAACCACTATGACCAACATACTGGAATCTGGCCTCCATTCGACACGTCTATTAAAACCAATTTCATCGAGACTCTGTGGAGATCTTGTGTATGAAGTGATTTTCACACATGGCTATCAAAGATATTGGGTTAAATTATTATTATTTTCTTAACTTAGGTAATATAAAGGAAATAATTATATCATTGAAAGAATAATAGATCCATGATAATGAGTCCAACCATTTTTTAAGGACTATTATCATTAGCATACAACATTTTAATAACTTAGAAAGTAGTCGTTCAAAATTTGAACTAACATCAAAGTTGAGGTAGGTACATTTAACATATTAATATGAGATTGTGTGCGTTCTTTTTATTTGCCCATTTGGCCTGATCAAAATGTTCGCCTCTCTCAAGTAAAAACTGAAATGATGCCACTGCCAATCTTACCTATTAATAATGTATTTTTTTTTTATGTAGGCATACCTACACAATATTATATTATAATATATATATATATTTATGATAAATTATAATTTCATATGATGAGAAATGTATTATATTTAAATTGATTCACATGAAAAATAATAATTCATTATTTTTCTGTCAGTTATAGGATGAGTTTGAAAACAATTGACATATTTATAAATTGAAACTTAATAAGGCTTTTTATTTAATTATAGTAAAAATTTAAATTTAAAAAATCAAATTCTCAAATTGAGCTATTTTAAAATTAATATATTGTCTATTAAAAATGATGCACACCTACCTTATATGAACTAAGTTTAACGGGGATATTGTTTCGTTAATACAATTTTATAATGAATACCTAGATTGTTTATTCATTAGGTAGATATTTGCTTTTTCAAAACTAGTGCTATTATAGTATCCTACATTAAATATTGGTAGAAATGTGAAATAATAAAAGTGTACAATCTGTGAAATGGGCACAGAACAGGTATGAATAACTTAACGAAAACAGCCAAGTGCATTAACATTACTCGAGGATGCCTATTGCTCACCTTGCAAAACCAAATTTCCAGTCGCTCGACGGACAGTATTGCGAATAGAATTTTGTCTCTGTTGCATATCACCTGGACAAGGGTGCCAGCGGCGTGAGCTGAAGCCAAAACTTTTGGCCAGCCTACCGGAAAGTACATGGTATTGTTGCACTAGGATGAACAAAAATATACGTTTTTCCGCAAATCAAATTGATCCTACTTGCAATTTATAGCCAACGTAAATTTTACGTCGACATTACTGGTACAATAATCCACTGCACTAATTACAACCATTTATAATATTATTACACTAGTGGAATAGTGGATTAATAATAATATTACAATATTAATAACGTCGACAAATATATACGTTATCAATACTTCTCGGTGTCATAAAATAAAATACGATGATAACTGGGCTGTTAATCCGTCTTGTTGTAAACACAGTAGTTGTAAACCATATAGACAAATAAACGGTTTATGATACCACGGACTGATAAGGTGACCTCAGACCTGGTGACACCACAGAATATAATATACCTAGATAACAAACTATAATAATCAAGGTGGATTGATTCATAATAAATATTATTATATTATTATACTATAATATTAATAATTATTATCATCTATAAACTATAATATTAATACCTAATTATTATCGAGTATTCACTAATCTGTGACATATCGGACACCGACACACTGTATTAAAATAATAGCAAACAAATTGTTAATTGTTATTGCCTGTATATAATTTGCCTATATTGGCTATATTTTACTATTTTTACTATATTGTTCATATGCTAAGAAGTAAGAAGTAAAAGAAAGAAAGATGTTAAATAGGCAACTATTGTAACAATCTCGGGGGAAAATAATTGTATAATATTTTGAAAAGAAACGGTTTGCCAGTTTCTAAATTTCTATAATGCCAGTAACAAAGCAGTTAGCAGAGGCTTTGTTAATACGCTGCTCAGTGGCTTATAGCCAGGGGGGCTAAGGGGGCTAGTTTAAATGTCGAATGAATTCACTCGTCAAGTAATGATTTCTCATCAAAAGATTTTCATCTTTTCACCTTTTGACTCCGAGCTATTTATAGACATTTGCCATTTTCTACTTTTATTAGTTATGGACCTACCTAATATATGTTTCCTATTAATAGGTATCGATGAAAAAATTCACTCAGTTAAAAGTTTAAAATTGTAAACAAGGTCTGAAGGTTCCTCATAAATTGTTTATTATACCTAACTATAAACTTTTGAAAAAATGAAAGATACTTAAACACGGTATTTTTAAGATAAGCATTTGAAGTTCAAATCTTGACCAATTAGACAAAATTAAGAACATGTATAAATTATTATTATGTAGTTAAAAATATATGATGTATAAAGTGTTAAATTTTTATAGCTGGGGCTTCATACTTGTTCATACTAAAACCATAAATCTAAGATACCTATATATAAAATTTGTTTTTTTTATTTACATTTAATAGAATACCTGAATACCTTATGATTTTAGTTAGGTATTTTGTACCTACTTAATATGTTGAAATTCAAAAATATTTATCGTGGGGATTTAAAACTTTAAGTACCTATATTATTATATTTCATATAGGCACCTACCAGCTACCTACACAATGACATTTTCAAAACATTAATTTTATACTGTTGCCCATTTACAGTTTATTGTGTATATTATAATACAAATATTAATATTTTTTTTAACAATTCACGGTGAAGTATCATAATCTTCAAAGTGTACACCAATTTGATTTCTCAATCGATCCATTATTTCTTGTACGGTATAACTATTATTTAGAGTAACAACTGGCGATTCAATGAAACCTAAAAAATAAAAACAGCAAATTGTTAGTCATTTTTGATAAAATCGTCAAAATTGATAGTTAGGTATGTAAAAACTAAAAATACTCAAACCTTTTTTTAAACAATGTCTGACATGATCTATTTCGTAACGTAACTGAACACTATTTGGAAATATTGTGGGTTTTCTTGTATCTGGTTGTACAAAAGTATAGCTTGAGGTATGATTATTGGTCGTGTTAACTGTTACTTTATTTGAACCGTTAAATGGTTCATGAATCTAAGAAAAAATACTTAATATAACTTTTTAAGTTTATACATACAATATAATTGGGTTTCAATATATTTTATAAATCAAATTTTGAAAAAAACATGTTAAACTTAACATTTGCTTAAGATTAATTCATTTTTTATAAAATCGTACATAAAGTATCAATATGAACCGACCTTTATTCCTCTGCACCCTATTTTATATTTTTCCTAATCCGAAAATACTAGGGGTAGGCTACGCTAAAATATATGAAAATACACTCACTGGACTAATATAGGTAGTATTTTAATTTATAGTAGACACTAGACATGCACAGAAATAATAATATAAATAAATGTTGCATAATTATAATAAGTGCCTAAATTTAATTTAGGCTAGGAATCTCTTTTTAATGGATTTTAAAATGTTTACCTCTGTAACCTTAATAACACTTTTGTTTAGCATGATTTAATTTGTTCTATTTTGAATTTTTCATGCACAAAATCATTACAATTGTCAATTATTAACATTCATGTAGCCTGTGTAGGTAAGTGGTACCTATCTAAATATTACCTACCTAATGTATTATATAATATGCGTATTATCCGTTTCCGACACTTGTAGTAAGTTCCCCCGTATAATTAAAACTTATACATTATACGTTACATATGTTATTATAATATTAAGGAACAAATCTAGTTTAGGGGCCAAGCGATTTTTTCAATTTTTATTATCGAAACTTATGTATCTCATCGAATTAAGAACGATGGTGCAATCAGAATTTGTCGCTCTCATTTAGTTCCGAAGTTATGGCCTTCCAAAGTTTTCGATTTTACGTTTATACGCATGCGCGCAACACTACTATAATGACGCGCGGAGGACCATTTTTGTTATTTAACCTTTCAGCAGGCGCGTATAGACTTACCTAACTTTTATCTACGTATCCCGATTAATACATGGGTTTTTCTATGTATATTTTATAAACACTTAATAATTTTTATCTTATCTTACGTATTTTTCAAATTATAATTGATGTATATTAATGCGTTGCGCTCGACAAATTTCCGGAAACTTACCGTTCAAAAGTTATGGCAATTCAAAGTCATTACGCGTAAGTCATTAACACCACCTTAAGTAGGTTACAGGAAAAGTTATGTCGTAGTATATGAGCATTGAGCAGTCATTACGCGTGTATCGGCACTCGTCGCTACGCTCCTCGGCGCCGTCGCTCCGCTCCGCAAATCGAAAATATCCCCCGACTTGCTATGCAACACCACCTCAAGTATGTACAGGGTACATAATACATAACTACATAAGTTTCAAAAAAAAAAGGTATACCGAATACGTATGTACCAAAAAATAACAAAAATGGTTCTCCGCGCGTCATTATAGTAGTGTTGCGCGCATGCGTATAAACGTAAAATCGAAAACTTTGGAAGGCCATAACTTCGGAACTAAATGAGAGCGACAAATTCTGATTGCACCATCGTTCTTAACTCGATGAGATACATAAGTTTCGATAAAAAAAATTGAAAAAATCGCTTGGCCCCTAAACTAGATTTATGCCAATATTAATATACTATCATAAATTAATTTCTTTTTAACACCGAAGTCAATAATATTGAGTTTGGCCGGTATTAGATAGGTACCTTGATTGTGCCCTTAGTGCCATGTATGTAAGCTGAACAGTCCATTTCCACTTTTGTGTGTATCGAGATGACGGCTATTTTCCCTTCAGGATACTCGAGAATAGCAGACATATTTTCATCTGTGCCGTGACTATTTAATGTTCCTTTACTTTCTATGAATACGGGTTTGCCGGGTCCAAGTATTGTATCAACTAAATGCAGTGTATACACACCAATATCAAGTATTGAGCCTCCTCCCACTTCCTTTTTCCTAAAACATACGACATATAACACGTAAACGTAGTAGTATATATTTTAGTATATTTTTTTTACTTCGATAGTTAGGACTAGGGCTCGCGGAAGTTGATGCATTTTGCATTTTTTTTTGGAACTTTTTAGATGATGCTCTCCTGGCCACAAATCGGTTTCATAAGCATGTGAATCTAAATAACTAATTTTTATTTTGCATTTTTTGGTGTTTATTACTTTTTAAGTCATTTTTTTGAGATTTATAGATCATTTTTCAACATTTTTAGTTATTTTTACTGATTTCACACTAGTTCATTTCTTATCGTTTCTTGTCGACCATTATGCCGATAACTTAAACCACAGACTAAGATTAGTACCTATCCAATTTTATCTCGACGATTACATTATTGTCGTTGTCGTATTGTAGTGAATAATATTATACCTACATTTTATTATTTTTTCCTAATATTCGATTAGTATCCGATTTTATCTCGCCGATTACAGTCGTCGCGTCGTTGTCGTGTAAAAGTGAATAATATTATTATACCTACATTTTATTATTTTTCGTAATATTTTCGAAATGCCGAAAATTAAAACATCGGTTAGTGCTCGTCTGCGTGCATTTGTGTCGGAATTCGGCGACGATATGTTTTCTTCCGATGACACAGTTCTTTATTGTAAAGTATGTGAAGTAAAGGTGTCATATTTTGAATTTTATAGTAAAATAGAGTAAAATATTTAAAAAAAATGTATTTTTATTAATATAAAACTAATTTTTGTAATTTTTTTAGGACATTTTTTGCCATTTTTATGGTCATTTTTTTATTGTTTTTAAGGTCATCAACTTCCGAGCCCTAGTTACTAGTTAGGACAATATAATATACATCCACATGAAAATGTTCCTTTACATTAAATGTAGTGTGCAATTTACTATATTTTACAATTATAGAATTGTTTTTAAGCTTTAAGCATTCAAAGTGCAGCTATAATAAGTGCATTAAACAAACAAAAAAAGATACGATAAAAAACGAGACATACATATTATTTTATAATATTATAAAAATGTATAATAATTATTGGGCGTTATGGTAATTTATGAGGATTAGAAATCATAAAATACAGTCAAGAGGCACAAGTTACAACTTACAACTATAGTATAATAATATTATATTATATTATAATTTATAATGATGGCGGTTACTAATTGTTTGATCTTTGATAGGTACTTGTAATTATAACGAGTCACTAAGTTTCGAAATATTAAATACCTGGTCTATCTAGTGATGTAGATTTTCATGAAAATGTTTTGTTGTGAAAATGTTCAAAAACTTGAAAATTATGAAAATTTTATAATTTCTCATATTAATTTCTTATCAAACAAATCCCTTGATATTATACCTATAGTTATACATTTATAATATATTAAACCTACATAGTTATATTTAAAACTGTGTACTTGTATTACCATTTACCCAATTTAATAGTATAGGTATAGCCGTATATGTACTATTAACTACTATTAAACATAATATTATAGGAAATCCAAAATACAAAATTTATCTCGGAAATTGTTGTGTCTTCTAGTGAATTTGTATGATATTTTAATTTGTAAGTGAGTTATGAGAATTTTTATATTTTAATATTTTACATACTTACTCATAACTCCGAAAGATATAATATAAAACCAAAGAACCTAGCCTAAAATATTAATATTAGATACTAATACTGAGTTGGGACAAATACTTTAAAAAGTATTTGGAATACTTATGATTTATAAAAATAGTATACTAAATATTTTGTATTCGAATCCTTCATAAAAATGTTTTTTGTTTTGTATATTAAAAATACGATGCTTGTCTTTGGGGAAATTTAGATAGCAAATGTCAAAATATACCTTTCGTGTTTAATAACTATACTGTGATAATTTATGATTTACTGCAATAATAAAAATAAATAGTAAAATAAAAAATTGTAACTGATTACTGATTAGGTACTATAATAGGATTAGAAGTACATACGTTCAAATTAATTCAGAATACAACGTTAAATACTTTTGGGAAACAGTATTCTTAAAGTATTCAGAATTTCAGATTTCTGTAATCTGAACAATACCCCATAGTTTGAATATTATAGAGATAATTAATTTAGCCAATTTATTAAGTAGGAAATAGTTTGTATGATTATATTAAACACAATTAATACAAAATTATTTTAAATAAATAGGATGTGTAATTACCAAATTCTTTCGATGTTTGACATTTGTCTTCCAAAGTTCGCCTGCACGTGTAAGACTGTACCGATAGTTCCGTTTTGCACTACTTCGACTACTTTTTGATAGGCTGGTGTAAAACGACTCCACATAGCTTCCATTAGAAATACATTTTTAGCTTTTGATAGCTACACAAAAAAACCAATATTTTAAGCATTAACTTCGTATTATTTGGGTAGGTTATATTATCATTGTTTACTTTTATCAATTCATCGAGTTGTTTGGCGTTTATACAAAACGGTTTTTCACATAACACGGGCTTACATCTTTCGAGCATTAGTTTGGTCAATGAATAGTGTTGATGGTTAAGGGCACCGATGTAGACAACGTCTATTTTTTGTATTATTTATAAAACGAAAAAGTTAGGTATTGTGTGTTTAAAGAGGACACCCGTATTTGTTGTCTCCATCTTATAGAGCATATTGTTTATCTACATAACCATTTCGCATTGAGCAGTTCACGTGTAGTTTCAGTAATTTTAATTTTGAATTAGTGATTATTTATCTGTGTGCTATTTGTTTTAAGGCGGGTTCACATTACACCGTGTCGTGTAATATAATCACGGTTACCTCAGTTACCAAACGATATCGCATAGTTGAATATATTCAACTTTTGACCGTGTGGTTATGTTAAGTATGAACCCGGCTTTATCTGCATATAAATGTAACCACATGGTCAAAAATTGAATATATTCAACTATGCGGTATCGTTTGGTAACTGTGGTAACCGTGATAATTTTACACGACAAGGTGTAGTGTGAACCCCCCTTTATTCTTAGCAGGATTACTTTCGAATTTTCCGCTATTTAAATTAGAAAGGGGATCATAACATGCTTCAATACCTACTAAAATATTGAAAACAAAAAACTCCAACATAATTCAGACAACGTTGCAGTTTACCTCAAGACTCAAGTTGAATAATATGTCAATTCACTCTAATGGCCTAATATTACAACTAAATCGAGGTCACAGTTACGTCGTGTGTCCGTGTCGTGCCGTGCAACGGCGTGGTAGGTACCTAACTATGGTTACAAGTTACAACCGGTAACCACATTAGTTATGTTGGTCTGTAAAGTCTATTCTTATTTCTTGGTACCTAATACCTATACACTGTTTGCAACTTGATTATTACATGATACAAAAAAGTAACGTTCAAAGTCCAATCACAATGCGATTTGATCAACACGAAACGACACACGACGGAGCTGTGAAACTAAATATAGGTAAAAAAAACGTGAACTGTTTTACTACTTTAAATTCCAAATTATGTGCGAATATTTAATATTATGCACTAGTAATATGGAAAAAACAAATGAGGGTGTTAAAACAATATATTTTGTCTTTTGTATAATACATTTTTGTACACTACAAAATCTATAAAATATTATGTTTTTACCGATAGCCTACGGAATCGTAACTTACCTGTTTTTCATTTTCTACACAAAATATCATAAATGAATCAATATATTTAAGCCACGATCATAACTTGAAATAAATCCTAAAATTTGAATTTATTTTGACAGAGTAAATGATGTATATTAATGTACACAATTTGATGATATATAATAATATAGTCTCGTCGTTTCAATGTCTGAAACTCTAAAAAATGCCAAAACCACAGTAGATTACGACGACCAAAATTATTATATTGAGTCATCATAAATATACATTCGAGGAGATAACTGATAAGTATAGTAATGGTTGAAAATGTAAAAATAATTGTCCTAATTTATAGTGCCTACGTGCTTAGAAGAAATATCGCAGATATGATGGGAAACGCCAACAATCTACAAATCTGCATACCTATTGTAAAGGAAAATATTAAGCGCCATGTAGAATATGTAAATATTTTCTACTCAAAAAGCCGCTTGGCGTTTATTAAATAAAAAAAAAAATAAATAAAAATCCGTGTAGCTTTAAAAATAATGTTATGGATTTAAAATATTTCTTGATAATAAAATTAGTCAGTAATATCATCGATCAGTAATATGTTATAATGAATTTCTATTAATCTTAGATACACAGAATTGTTACTATTAGTATACTTAAATACATAAGTTTTAAATTAAGTTTTTCCTGAACTACTTATAACATCCGTATCAACTCATATAATTAAGATTAGTGCATAAAGAAGTTTAATTGGATTTTTTATTGCAGTGTTTGAACACTTGGATATATTATACAGCACCAGAAACCCCGAAATCTAAGCATGCGATTCGGGTGCAAATCCCTGGATATTAATATAAAATCGTAGAATTTTTAAAAATTACAAAATAATGTAATATTATATGAATATATATAAATATATAAATATATAACGTATAAGATATACAACGTACCGACATTGGAATCATTGCCGAGCTCTTCGTAAGAACCGTAATAAGTAGAAATACCAAAATCATCGGCGAAATCTTTGGCCCTAGATATGTCTTTGGCAGCAACAGCCACTACTTTATGATCTTCAGGAGACAATTTTTCTAAAGCTAGAACAAAATCGTGGGAGATTTTGGAAGCGCTTAGTATTCCCCATTTTGTTGCCATAGTGTAAGTTGACAAATTTAATCTATGATAAATAATAAATAAATAATAATATAGTTTGTTTCCAATTAAAATGTATAGGTGCCCGTTTCATTTATAACATATTTGACCTACCTTCAATGTAAATAGTTACCTACACCAATCGTGTTATGACAATGTGTGTATATTGGCACTCTGCACGGTATTAAATCACAGTGGTTTTGCTGAACGCTCCTCGACGAAATCGGCTATCGAGCTTCCGATAAAGGTACACAGCAACTACAGTCGAAGTATTATGTTCAAATTATAATGTATACATTAAAATAATATCACAGTGAGAGGGAATGAGCTGAGATAACGATGTTGTGATCAATATTGTACTGCTGCTAAACTATATATTATACTTATATATAAGTATATATACGAACAACGAACGTGTGGACTGTGTCCATTATCTGAAGACAGTCTATTACAATTTATAACTTTTCTAATCGGGCTCACAAAAAGTGAGTGCTGACGGTCAATGGGTGGGGAGTCCAAATATTGACAGTGCCAGGGAGTATAATAGAACTATTTGTTTTCTACCGCCACAGATTATAAAATAATGGATAAGGCATTTGACCCACATGTCCACATACCTATAATATATTGATAATAAAGTGATAAATTTAATTACCAACTGCTGTATGCTTGCAAGGTTTATAGATAATACAGGTTGCCTCACTTCTGAATTTACGAAAAAATGAGAGTGGGGGGAATAACGCTCCTGACGTCACTGCCGGAACACGAACACCGGCACACACCGCAAAAAACATGTTTTATGCGTTAACGTTGCTGGATGGATTGCTAAAAAATATAGGCAAAAATTTCCTGAACTTGGTTGTACTACAACAGAATCAAAGATTAAATCAATAGATGAACATGACTATCTACTTCCTTCGTGGATTGATTATTTATCATATGGTGGCCTAATAGTCCCTAGTAATAACTTTAAAAAACACATTTTTAGAGCTGAAAGAGTTTTTAAAAACTTACCAAGCAGAAAATCCCTAAAGGACCAGGTGTAGTAAAACAACTTTTACATAAAATAATGAATAGAATGGATATTGAAGAAAAGTATAGACCAGTTATACATACATTTGAAAGGCAAAGGATCTTTATTCGTATGAAATATGCGAATAAAAATCATCAAATTTTAGCTTCAAAAAGAAAAGCAAAGTTACAGTTACAAAAACTACAAAAGTTGAGAAAACTTATGACTTGAAAATGTATACAGAGTGATTCACTAATAATTATATTATTATTATTTTATTATATAATATTATTATATTATGAATTATATTATATTGTAATATTTGTATTTATATGAAAGAATATTAAAAATGTATGTACACAACTTGCAGATTGGTTTCTTGGTTGTCGTCTTTATTTATTTATTGATAGTTTTCTAATTGTACCTGCACAACATTTTTATTTATTGGTCAATTACAATTGGTATTATGCAAGATAAGTGTAAAATATTTTTTAGAAAGTTGATTTTTCTATCTTCAAATTAATATTTGTTGAAAGAAAAAATAGATCAATCGTTTTTATCAAATTTTAGTTTTGTTAAATTTTATTTATCATGTAAAAATACAAAATAGGTACCTCGTACCTACGACATATTATGTTTGAACTTTTTGTAGTTTTACTAACTTCTGTAAGTATTTTTACCATATTATTTTACTACCAAATGATATACCTATTGCATGCTGAACATAGCTGTTAGTTAAATAGTAGGAGCTATTTGTGATATACAGTGTACTCTCAATAAGTAACTTGAACCTTGATAACTAGAAATTCTCGACATCTCGAACAAATAAAATTCCCCTTCAAGTAACATAATAACACATTAAGGTTTTGATAACTCGACATTTTTAATAATTCGGACTTTTTTCCCCCAGTGGGCCGTGAGCTTCGAGTTACTGATTTTACACTGTATTAAAAATAAATATATTATATTCGATAATAATTATTATTATTATTTATTATATAATTAAAAAGCTGGTAAATCAAATGAATAATTCATTAATAATTAAGTTATCAAAATCAAAAGAAAGTATGTAAAAAATGATTTTATTAATTATTATACTGTTGAAAATAAGTAAATGATACATTGTACCGCACTACTGCAGTCGATTGTTCCGGCAATGACGTCAGTAGACGAGAAACGGTACGGGGGGGAACGTTTTGTTTACATGACTATGAGGCAACCTCTATATTCTATTAACCTTGGTATGCTTGTACTATTAAAACGAATAATGCCATCATTTGTGGGAATTAGAGTAGGTATATAATATTTAATTATGTGCTTATAAATATTTGTTGATGTTAATTATAGGCAAGAATGGCCAAAATGTTCTGTAATAAAGTCCATAATTCCCACAAAAATAGGGGAAATTACTTCACTTATTATCACGTTTCACGAGTAAGCAGTCTAATTTATTATTTATAATGAATCTTATACTAGTCATAGGTATAGTATAACTCATAGACCGGCGCCACCGGCCTTTCCTATAATCTATATTACTAACATTATACTTCGAGACTCTAAACATATGGTACGATTAAATATTTTAGTGTCTTAGTGAGTGAGTGACCGATTCACAAACGCCGTTATATATTATATATTTTCATAGTACAGTGAAACTTCCATCGACAACGAACTTCAATTTAATGACATTTTCTGTTCAACGGATTATATTTAAGTATCAAATCTAACTAGAACCATATGGGAACGGGGAACGCTATACTTACTACTTAGTGATATAATATATAGTCGTAGATTTAGTCTATACTTTTAAGAATCTTTTTCCATGATTTGGTCACGTCTCATGTCGATTACACGAGCATAGAAAAATATAGAAATGACACTAAATTAGCTGATCGAGTTTTATGTTTGTCTGTGAAATGAAGTCTGCAGAACCTCCGTGAAACATAGAAACGAGCCAGAGCACCAACCAGAGGTTATATCTATAATAGGGACGTTTGTTTAACCGAATTACGAAAACGTTTACTGCCACGGTGTTTTGCAAGGTTGATTAGACTATTTTAGACTAAACCTGTAACCACACAGTGTCACTTAGGCATGTCACTTTATAATGGCGTCTGTAATCTTATCTTTCTGAAACCCAAAGACACGCTTAGATACTACTACGTTGGACTTACACAATTATAATTAGGTACCAACTATGCAACAATAACAATATTATAATTCCTCTTAAATGTATACCATATAGCCAGGTATCTAAATTATATTATGATAATGAACAAAAACTGTTGTGGCAAAACTCACAGGGTTGCCAGCCGAGTAACTGACTGACCCCCCAGCTGTATCTCGGGGGAAAATAATTGTATAATATTTTGATAAGAAACGGTTCACCAGTTTCTAAATTTCTATAATGCCATAGTAACAAAGCAGTTAGCAGAGGCTTTGTTAATACGCTGCTCAGTGGCGTATAGCTAGGGGGGATAGTTTAAATGTCGAATAAATAGGATATTCACGCGTCAGATAATGATTTTTCATCAAAAGATTTTTATCTTTTCATCTTTTGACTCCAAGCTATTTATAGACATTTGCCATTTTCTACTTTTATTAGTTATGGACTTACCTAATATGTTTCCTATTAATATCGATGAAAAAAATCACTCAGTTAAAAGTTTAAAATTGTATATAAGGTCTGAAGGTTCCTCATAAATTATTTATTATACCTACCTATAGCCTTTTAAAAAAATGAAAGATACTTAAACACGGTATTTTTAAGATAAGCATTTGAAATTCAAATCTTGATCAATTAGTCAAAATTAAGAACATGTACAAATTATTATTTTGTAGTTAAAAATATATAAAATATAGAGTGTTCAATTTTTTTGCTTCATACTTGTTCATAATAAAACCAAAAATCTAAAATATATATAAAATTGTTTTTTTATATACATTACATTTTCATACATATATGGAATACCTGAATATCTAATGATTATAGTTAAGTATTTTTTACCTACTTAATATGTTGTAATTCAAAAATATTTATTGTGGGAATTTATAACTTTAAGTACCTATATTATTATATTTACCTATTTTATTATAACCTACCAGCTACCTACACAATGAAATTTTCAATACATTAACATTAATTTTATACTGTTGCCCATTTACAGTTTATTGTGTATATTATAATACAGATAAGTGAGATATTAATATTTTTTTAACAATTCACGGTGATTTATCATAATCTTCAAAGCGTACACCAATTTGATTTCTCAATCGATCCATTATTTCTTGTACGGTATAACTATTATTTAGAGTAACAACTGGCGATTCAATGAAACCTAAAAAATAAAAACAGTAAACTGTTAGCCATTTTTGATAAAATCATCAAAATTGATAGATATGTATGTAAAAACTAAAAATACTCAAACCTTTTTTTAAACAATGTCTGACATGATCTATTTCGTAACGTAACTGAACACTATTTGGAAATATTGTGGGTTTTCTTGTACCTGGTTGTACAAAAGTATAACTTGAGGTATGATTATTGGTCGTGTTAACTGTTACTTTATTTGAAGCGTGAAATGGTTCATGAATCTAAGAAAAAATACTTAATATAACTTTTTAAGTTTATACATACAATATAATTGGGTTTCCATTATATTTTATAAACCAATTTTTTAAAAAAAACATGTTGACCTTAACATTTAGTTAAGATTAATTCATTTTTTATAAAATCGTATATATAGTATCAGTATGAACCGACCTTTATTCCTATGTACTCTATTTTATATTTTTGATATTAGACATGCACAGAAATAATAATATAAATAAATGTTGCATAATTATAATAAGTGCCTACATTTAATTTAGGGTAGGAATCTCTTTTTAATGGATTTTAAAATTTTTACCTCTGTAACCTTAATAACAATTTTGTTTTGCATGATTTAATTTGTTCTATTTTGAATTTTCCATGTACAAAATCATTACAATT